AGAAGCGAACTAAACAGCAAGCTATCGTGGTACTTTTAAATTGAAATTTAAAGATGATTTGCTTAATTAAAAGTTATTCTATTCGCAATTTACACAAGGGGGAAACAGCAGACTCCATGACTTCATGACTCCATCTGATATCACCTGACTCCAAGTGACTGCATGAAAATGAAGTCCACAATTTCCCTCTTGGCAGTATGACTCAGTAACTGGAAGTGGAATTCCCATCACAGAAAAAATAGCTCAACTTTTGGAATACAACTTCCGGATACTCAATTGCATTGTTCTATTAAGGGAATTGTTTTCGAACAATTTCTGACAAAGAAGAAGACGAATAATTATTTTGTATGATGGCACATATAATAGAAAAAAGTAACAGTATATCAGTTTCGAATTTCAATATTGGTTTTCTGGAGATCTGCAAGGATTTTGCGAGATTTACTGTGACTCTTCGTATTTACTCATAATTCCCTGGGACTTTTTGTAATTCTATGTAGCTTCAGCTGCTGCATGTGGCTCCACCTAACCCTAATGAAATGAAGTCTACTGTTTCCCACTTGAACTTAAAACTGACGGTCTGTACAGAGTTAGAAATGTAAAAATATCTACCATCAAAATCATAGCACAGCAGCCTAGTATGACATCGACTGAGATATCTATATCAAAATCGTGCATACAAATACGTTAGACAAACGTTGGAAATGATGCTCGAAGAGCAAGTCAATTGCCCAGAGCCGAACTGTAGCGCTGCACTCGATTTCGATTCGATCAAGAAGATTCTTGGAAATATCCGAGGCAAGAAGCTCTTCGAGCACTACGATAGATTTTTTACCCAGCGTGTACTGGAGCGCATGCCTGATTTTGTTTGGTGCTCTCATGGATGTGGTTCAGGACAATTAGCTGAACGGGGAGTCGAGAATAATATTATTACCTGTATAAAATGCAACAGGAAAACATGCTTCGTTCATAAAACAAAATGGCACAATGATTTTACGTATGCACAGTATGACAGTCAGACTGCGATAGCTACCAGAGATTCAGAAAAATGGTTAGTACAAAATACCAAGAAATGTCCTTCTTGCAAGTCTCCAATTCAAAAAGCGTCTGGTTGTGATCATATGACTTGTCTTAAATGGAATTATGAGTTGTTGGGCATGTTCAGCCGACTATGACAGAATTCGCAATCATGGTAATCAATAACATCACTCTCGATGTAAACATTATCCTTCGCCTAGCGAATAAATTTATCTTTAAAAACGTATCAACCTTACAGTAACTTGGAAATTTTCATCAACCCTTCAATAAAAGTATTAATATGCAGAGACATATATATTTGAGAATAAGTTCTTAACTTTCTTGCATGAAAACTTCTTTCTGAACTTATAAACCAATATTTTGATTAATCTGTTGTTAAAATTCAAGAATGGTTATGAAATACTATGAATGGGCGTGGGCACATTACGGTTGTGAATAAAAAGAAAACCCACATCCAGATGTCAAGTCACACCCACGGCTACACCCGCACTTACTCTCCCATCGACAACCATGCCCATGTCTCGGACAATATCATTGATAAGTTTTCGTTTTCAAGACTGCTAGAAATAATGTTTCTACACACGTAGAACTATAATCTCATTGACATTGAAAAATTCGTTCGTGTTTAAATAACAAGTTTATTCTTGTATAATTTATATGTCAGTACACTTTAGAACGGGTGTGTGTTTGGGTATGGGTCTGAGTGTTCATCATTTCCACACCCACACCCACCCTCAAGATGAAACTCTCTACGACCAACTTGATGCAGATTTCATGCCAAGCTAAAATCCTTTTGTTATGTTATTTTCCACTCAGTTTTCTACGATGTTGCACATTGAAGTCTCGTTGAATGAAAAGGACAAGGCGATGAATAAAAAGAGACGCCACCACAACAGTTGATTCTGCCAGAAAAAAAGAGAATTACAAGGGCTATGTAATGTTGTGTTCGTTGAATTATGTGACAGAGCAACATTTTGCGATAGAATGAAACTACGCTGAGAGAAACGAGTGAAAGAAAATCGTCTTTTATTTGTTTACAATCACTACTTCAGTTTTTTACTGGTTATATAAAAAGGGATGAAGAAAGAAAAAAATCAATGCATATGAAAGTTGAGTAATGGAAAGTAGTGCATGCTTTTGTTCCGTTGAGTTATTCGTTATTATTGTATTTATTTTTTTAAACTTCCTATTTATTAGCTTCTCCGTCGTCGCACTTTCTCTTAAAAACGTATCAATCAAAGACGCGATCAGATCAACAAAAGTACAAACAACTGGTGAAAACATTTTGTAATAACATTTTGGAACAAAATCATTCATTTATTTCGAACATATATTCTTTTTATTTACCGTGTCCACTGATACAAATTTATTAGAAATGTAGTTCTAATGATCCACTCAGATTTGTTTCAAAACGTATCATGAAGAAAATATTACATTGGTAAAATTAGCACCATATTTGAGTGTTCCTTATCCTCATTTGTTCTCTAGCATGTGATGAGTATCTAAATTGGTGTGTTGTATGCAGAATTGCATTCTTTATCAAATGACACCTTTCTTGACAGGGATCACTGAACCAAAATTGGTCGAAGGGTATGAGTCCTAGTGCGGATGAGTATATGATTGCAAACAAATATCACTGTTGCGTGACATTCTATAAATTAGATGAATGTTGGTACATATTTGAATTCGTAAATGGCTGAAGTGTTCCTTATTTTAAACCTTGAATAGTAGTCCTTCTCACTAACATCAGCCTGGTCACTCATCCACGAGTAAATTTTGGTTCGATAACCGCTTTTAACATGATATTATTCGGTATAAAATGAAATATTGTATCTAACGAGCCGTTTTAAAGATTAAATCGAGGTCAGAGAACGAATTTGGACACGAAACACACGAATCTAGTGCTAAGTTTGCCAAGGTGATATATTTGCGCTTTATTTGGAACATGATCTAAACAGGTATGACGTAAAAAAGTGATCATTAAGACATGCAAGAATACACTTAAATATTCTTGGCGAGACATTGATTTTTAAGAAAAAAGATATTGAAATTTAGTTTTCGTTTCGATCGAACATGAACATCCATAGAATATTGCAAAACTTATTAAAATAAAGCTGACATACTTGTAATTATGTACCACAGAAATCGTCCACTTACCTGGTAGTAAGGTACTTTTCCAGGTACCTTGAACTTAGTACTCAGACTAAGGAAGGATAGGTAAACTCCTGAGTCCACCAAATTTGTCAGTCAGAAAGGACAATGTCTCAGCTGCCAAGCTTGTAGAAGAAATTTTGCAAATCGAGACTGACAGAAAGCAATAGTAGACAAAAACACGAGTTTTTAGGCTTCATGGAGATAATGGGCATATTGGACACCCTCATTCAGCAAAACACGGTGTAAATCGATTCATAGCACCTTCATATAGCGAGACACTACACTCTAAAAAAATCGGCTCTTTACCGAACCCCCAAAAAAGGTTCCGGAGATTTCAAAAAGCATCCAAAGGTGTCCAAAGTTTCAAAAAAAGGATAAAAAAATCTACGAAACCTTTAATGGTTCTTACCGTGTACCCAGGATAAGAACCTTCTGCTACGAAACCTTTTTTTAAGTTCCGTAGAGCAAGAAAGGTTTCGTAGGGGAAATACGAAACCTTTACAGTTTCATATTAAAACCAAATGGTTTCGTACTAAACCCTCATGATTTTGTAGAGTTTGATACGAAACTGTAAAGGTTTCGTATTTCCCCTACGAAACCTTTTTTGCTCTACGGAACTTAAAAAAAGGTTTCGTAGCAGAAGGTTCTTATCCTGGGTACACGGTAAGAACCATTAAAGGTTTCGTAGATTTTTTTATCCTTTTTTTGAAACTTTGGACACCTTTGGATGCTTTTTGAAATCTCCGGAACCTTTTTTGGGGGTTCGGTAAAGAGCCGATATTTTTTAGAGTGTATCTGAGTCCCTATATTCTTACCCTCTTCTTTAGATGAATTTTTGCTAGTAATCCACAGTACACGAAATGAAAGAAAATCATATTTTCAGCTACTGTTTGAATTGAAATTTAGCCCAACCTGGGACTCTATGTAAAGATTATCATTTTACCAATCCCTAGCATTCCGAAAACAATTGAATTATCGTTTTCATTGTCTTTTCGTTTGGTTCAGAAATACATATGAATCCACCATATTGACATCAACATACGCTATTTAAAAATTAGCGTTACTCCACTTCTTATTCTTTCTAGAAGACTGTTAAGAAAACAAAAAAGCCTCAACATTACGAATAAACTGATCATTTTTAGTTTACTTTATTTTATTTTATTTTATATTGCAGATAAATAGTATTCATCATCAACTGATATTAAAGAACAACACTGAAGTCGATATGAGTAAAGGAAATTCAGAGCAAAAGCAAATCGAGTCAGCAGTTACTATTATTGAAAAAGCAGCACCATCAATAGTCACTGCGGAATTGACACGACCTATGCATGGTGAGCTTTTGATCATCTTGTGTTTTGACGAAATCGACTCAGCAAGCGAAGAATGTCAGAACATCGCCACCCAAGCTACAAAGCATAATCAATGAAGTGCGTACTGTCTCTGAACCTGATGAATGTGTTGATTTCTTGACAGACATCAATGAACAGAAAGTCTTTCTGATTTTATCAGACGCACTAGGGCGACAACTAGTATCTTTTATTCATGACATACCACAGCTTGTTAAAGTTTATAGCTACTGTCGCAACGAAGTTTTGCACGTAGATTGGATTAATGGTTGGCACAAAATTAAGGGTCCATACACAAACATGACGGCGATCGGAGAAGAATTAAAAGTAGCCCACAAACAATGCAACAAAAATGATATCTCTATCAACATTATCCGCCCGAATCAAGATTTTTCCAGCGAGACCTTCAGGCAGCTGGAGCCTTCGTTTATGTATACTCAACTATTGAAGGAAATTCTTCTTAGTATGAACCGCAGCGAACAACAAATTAAGCCATTTATCGAACTCTTACGTAGCGAATACTCCAACAATGCGCACAAATTGAAGGATGTAGCTCAGTTTGAACGCGATTATCGTCCTGAATCAGCAGTTTGGTGGTATACTCGTGAACCATTTATCTACCAAAAGTTGAATTGGGCGCTAAGAACTTTAGATGCCACAATAATTTTGAAATTAAGTTTTATCCTATGTGACTTACACCGACAAATTGAAACATTACATCAGAAACAGGTTAATCGAAATGAAGCAAAGATCAAACTTTATCGAGGGCAAGTGCTATTAAGAGTGGATTTCGAAAAACTACAAAAAAAAACAAGGGCGGTCTATTATCCTTTAATAATTTCTTATCAACTACAAGTGACCTCGATGTGTCTCTTGATTTTGCCGAAAGTGCTTCAGTAAACCCAGATATAGTTTGCGTTCTTTTTCAAATGTCAATCGACACCCGGATTACAACAACTTCATTTGTTTCTATCCGTGAATTTAGTGAGTTCATAGATGAGAATGAAATCCTTTTCTCCATGCATACCGTATTTCGTATTGTCGATGTCTTCAAAGTCGAAACAGATCATCCACTTTATAATGTAAATCTTGAACTGACCTCTGAAGATGATTCATCACTTACTAAACTTAGAGAACATTTCACAAAAAAAACTGAGGACGAACCTGGATGGACACGCTTGGCACGACTACTTCTCCAATTAGATCATTTTGATGAAGCCGAACAACTATGTAATGATTTACTACAGCAACACAAAGCATCAATAGTCACCAAAGCTTCTCTATACAATATTATCGGATTCTCGAAAGCTGAACGCGGAGAGCTTGATGTGACTCTTTCATTTTACCATAAAACCTTAGAAATTTTTCGTATCACTCTTTTAAAATGGGCATCAAACAATGGGTGACTACTCGAAAGCACTAGAGTTTCACGATAAAGCACTATGGATCGCCGAAAAAGCTTTACCTGTGAATCATCCAGACTTGGCAAACTTTTACAAACAAACTGGTTCACTCTATGCCTGCATGGGCAACTACTCGCAAGCACTAGAGTTTTTCGATAAAGCACTAAAAATGAGACAGAAGCTCCTTCATGAGAATTATTTAGATTTGGCTGATTCCTACCACAGCATTGGTTCATTGCATAGCGATATAGGTAACTACTTGAAAGCACTAGACTTCTATGATAGAGCACTAAAAATCAGAGAAAAAATTCTACCCGAGAATCATCCAGTGGTAGCTGCCACCTACAGAGACATTGGTACAGTGTATAACCACATGGATAACTATTCGGAAACATTGAAATTTCATGATACAGCACTCAAAATAAAAGAAAACGTTCTGCCTGATAACCATTCAGATTTTGCTACTTCATGTGACAGCATTGGTTCAGTGTATAACAACATGGGTAACTATTCGAAAGCACTAGAATTTCACGATAAAGCACGTAAAATAAACGAGAAGGCTCTGCCTGAGAACCATCCAAATTTGGCTATTTCCTATAACCATATCGGCTTTGCGTATAACAGATTGAGTAACTACTCGAAAGCGCTAGAATTTTACGACAAAGCACTCAAAATCAATGAAAACTCTCTACCTGAGAATCATCCTGATTTAGGCATTACCTACGATAATGTTGGTTCAGTGTATCAAAATATGGGTAACTATCCAAAAGCATTAGAATGTTATGAGAAAGGATTGAAAATCTTCGAAAAGTCTACCATCAGATCATCCGGACTGGGCCATTTCCTACACACACATCAGCTCCGTGCATGAAAGTGTGTGCAACTATTCGAAAGCTATGGAATGCTTGGAAAGCACATTGAGTATCGCTCTAGAATCACTTCCACTGTCGCATCCAAACGTTCAAGTAATACTAAGCAAGATTGATAGTTTGAAAAACACGTTGTGACGCGATATTTATGAATCTACCTAGTTCGTGAATTAATTAATGTAAGAAGGCCTTTGTCAGAAAAAGGTTTTCTACACGCATAAGATCTTAATAAAATTCTCAAGTAAGGTATGATTTAAGTCTCATAGTTTACAGTACAACTTGCAAATGAATAGACTGGTTGCTCTAAAAGTATGGGTATGACTGGGGCTGGGGTATGCGTGCAGATGTCGGTCCGGATGACATCCAGTTTCTACACACTCACACCTACACACATGCCTTATTTGGACGAATAAGAATTGATAAATTCTTCCTATACTCAAGCGTTATTATATTTGAAGACCTTTATGACATCGAAATACTTATATGATATTGAAATACAATTACAAAACCTTAAATCAGCAGCAAAAAACGAATTCGAATTAATTATCCGATTGGCAAATCATCTACTATCTTAATACACAAATTGCGAATTGAATTGAATTACGTTTAAATATGACTTATATTTAATTGAGCAATAATCAAATTTAGCGATAAATATATAGAATGAGCAATAAATAATTAAAATGAAGCGTAAAATGTATATAGAAGGGCAATAATAACTCGTTTTTTTTACTACAATAAACGTTTTCTTATCCTCATGAAATTTATATAGGGTGTGGGGGTGGGGGTGTAGCTGTGAATGTAGGTGTTGATACGTGCGTGTGATGGGAGGGGTGAAAGAATGCATGAACTACACACCCACACCCAAGCCCACACCCTCAAGAGGGAGAACGTATCAAGTACTTATATACGTTTTGAAGAGCAAAGAAAAATGCATCTCATTATAGTGTTCAGTATCAACAAAAATTTAACAGAGAGAAAAAATTCGTTCATGATAATCCTTAATTATACATGTATTTCAAGTGAACTAGCCTAATGATTCATATTCACTTTTGTCAATGACATATATCTAATTCATTACTTAAAAATATTGAAAAAAGCACATGGTCGTCTATGCAATGTAAATTTAAAAATAATTTAATGGAGTGGTAGATTTCGCTTTTTATCATTTGGAGTGTTTTAAGAGCATGCTTAACATGGTATAGTCTATTGTCTGCTTATTATCATATGACTTTATCAAAGTCCATACTCTTATCAGTTTTAACACACCGAAAGAAATAGAAAGACGTTGTTGATATTGTTATAACACAGAGATAAAGTTAAAAGATACATTTTGTCGATTGTAAGTGTAGCTTCTTGTTTCTGTTCAGTCTTTATTGTTATTGAGAGTACTATTTCAAGACAAAGTGAATAATACCATCTTGTAGTCTATTCAACTAGCTGATAGCTGCGCGTGACAACATATTCACAATTAAAAATATGAATAATGAATCGGAATCATCAGGACCGGTTTATAATCAAATACCACCTTCTAACTTGCCAGTGACTGATACGGAAGTCATTCAAATAGATGCAAAAGATACGTCATTGCCTAGAAAAACGGCAGCTGATCGTGTGGCTGAGTAATTCGCTGAAATAAACATGAGAGCAACGACAGCAGTTGTAATGACTCCGTCGACTGCAGACACTCTGCAGGTTCTTTCTTACCGTCTACAGAATAAATTTTTCCTGTGAATTTGTTTTTCGCTTTTGGCGATGTTACTTCTTATAACAGCATCTATCATCCTGTTTGCCACAAAGAGAGGAACAGGAGCAGCCGATAGTGCATACATACTACAACTCGTGTTCGGACTTGTGTTCATTATGTTGGCTTTTTGCGCATCCATAATATTAATCATCAATTACTATCAAAGAAAACAACCAATATCTGTTGCTTTAGGAAATATTCGCTATACTGTACGAATTGAGGGTGGACAATGGGTGCGCTTTGCTAATTATTTCTTTAGTAGCAAGGGACGACTAAGTCGTGCTCGTGGATGGTGGTTTTGTTGCGGGGATTCAATCGGATATTATATGTCATTGCTAGAATTCATACAGCTAATATTTCTTCTAAAAATCTCTCCAATATTTAGCTTTATCTCAATTAGGAAATCTCAATACAATAGATACATACCCTTTTGTCCTACAGAAGAATATAATTTTAAATTCAACTATCCTCGTTGAATTATGTTACTAAGAATTCTATTCGCTTTGAAAATACATTTCTGACACTTGCATGACTCAGGTCAAGTGTCATGATTTTAATTACTCACTGGACAAGTTTGTTAGCATGGTGATGTTAAGCCCTCCCCATCCAAAAAAGTCGATTTTCGTCAAAAAATTGAAAATTGAGATAACACCATGGGGTGATAGCCCATGTTCTGCTCTTTCAGAATCACTATAGTTTTTTTTCCAAAGACCATTTTTTGACCGAAATTTTTAGTGATCTTTCAGAGGTCCTCAATGTCAAAAGCGGTAGTATAATTAGGTTTTTGATCTCTAATGACTGATTAATTAATTAATTAGGCGCTCAGCGTGTGCAGAATTAAAAGTTACGTATGGCAAGTTAGGTGAGTTTCCGCAAAAAACGCGTGAAAATTGCAGACAATTTAAAAAAACAGCAAAAACTTGGAAAAAATGTTTTTTGCGTTTTTCTCAAAATCATGTTTTTCCAACATCCATCCTAGTTATTTTGCCTTCAACTATGTTTTTTCGAAATGTTTTTTTTACCATTCGATCGAGCATGCAAAGACGCAGGGCATGGCGTTCTCCGATTTTTGAAAAAAGTTTTTTTATGCCCAAAAAAGGTCGCCTACAAAATTTGCATGCAATTTTTTGACCTTTTTTGAAGGACTTTTACTTGTGCAAAATTTTTCGGCCTATAAATGGACTTTTAAAAAAACCGGAGAACGTCATGCCCTGCATCTTTGCATGCTCTATCGAATGGTAAAAAAAATTTCGAAAAAACATAGTTGAAGGCAAAATAACTAGGATGGAAAATGGGTCATTTTTGACCAGTGTTCACCTTATCACTTCCTTAAACTTGTATATTTCGGACTGAACTTTTTATCGTAGACTACCTGCTCCAGTCCCAACATATCCTGAAAATTTCAGCCGATTTGAACTTTCTTTGGCGACAATCGATCTTTGCNATACTGTACGAATTGAGGGTGGACAATGGGTGCGCTTTGCTAATTATTTCTTTAGTAGCAAGGGACGACTAAGTCGTGCTCGTGGATGGTGGTTTTGTTGCGATTCATTTTTATTTCAGCTGATATAAATATTTGCTGGTAATTGTTTGAAGCTGTTGTAACTCTCATATTATATGAATATCGATGCTTTCTCAACAATAACTTGAAAAAACATTGCTCAGTTGATGAATTGACGTACAATATCTGCTTTTTCAAGGATTCTTTTCTAGCGATTGCAATAGGTAGAAGACTATTTTATTCGTCAAAGTGAATGATGGGATAATTAATGAACATGTCATGGACGTTATAGTTGTCATTATAAACGATCAATACAACGTGGTTATGGTTACATTGTTCTTGGTTCAAATGGCTTTATGATCGATGATCTCTTTTGTGCTTCTTATCTGGGGTTTGTTGTTATCAATATTGAAATGCTATCTATTGTAAGTGCTGACAGTAACAATGATAATGAACTAATTGTCGATAAAGTGATTCGTGTATGGCTATGTCGTCGTTTTTATGCCAGTCGATGGCCACCGACACCGTTCAAAGTTGATTTTTTCTTACCACCACAAATTCCTGATTATGAAATACCGGGTATAATCAAGATTATTGCGCTAGGATAGATACGATCATCTTCATCTCTATATGTGCCTTAATTCACTATTCGTTCAATGCATCGAAACAGAAACATGAACCTGGAGTTAATAGATAGGATTCACATGTAAAAGCATTTAGAGGAATAATCAGATTTAAATCGATTCAAATCATACATCTTTAATCGATTTTATTTAAAAATTTTATCAAGTGAGCGTGTGAATGAGTTAAATAACCGCGATAAATATTAAAAATTTTTGAATTTATTTCAATTCTATCAAATTAGAATCATTATCAAGTGGTAAATGGAAAAATTCTGATCAAAAGATCAAAAACATAAACCAAATTGAATAAAATTTTCAAGAATTTAAAAAAAAAGAAAATTTTTGAAAATATCTCTATAAGGGTAAGGGTGTAAGGGTGTGAGGGTTTGGGGTGTGTTAAACACTCAACATATAGATTCAAAGCAGAATACGACGCGTTTTGACTCTTGCTTAAGAAATGATCATCAGATGGCTTCATTCTCTATTACGATCCAATTAATTATTTCAACCGAATCAATGCGAGATAATGATACTGTTCTACCACTCCAAAAGGTTTTTGGAAAATAATAGAATGATCAAACAATTCGCCAGTAGTAAGGCACAGAGCTACCACGATGCGTTTGATCTTGCTCAAAGATCTGTTCAGGTGGTTTAAATTCAACTCAATTCGATAGAATTAAGAAACAAATTAAATTATCATTTATACTATCATAGAATCACAAATATTTGACGAAAGCATAGATAAAAGAAACTGGTAGAAGTCCCCATGACGTCGACGTTTCAATCTGAGGAATGGGTGTCATCAGATGGCAACTGTCTGGATTAAAAAATATAGAGAATGAGAAAAGAACTTGAAGTTATAGTGTTAACAAAGTCAATTGAAAATGTATCAGAAATAACAAGTTTTTTGTTTACCTGTCTCATACGAAACAAGCTAGACACAAAATTATTTCTAAATTAAATGTAGATTTGCAAGATATATTTGCTCAATTAACTTCGTAAAAAAAAAGATAGTGTCAATCTTTCGAATATATGTTTTATATAGTTCCAATGAACTTTTCATTCGATTCGCGTGGTAAACACATTCTATTGAAGATTTTAACGATGGAAATAAATCATTCATTATTAAAATGCAATGACCTGAGTCATGCATAAGGAGTTCGTTTCTGTTTTATCTAATAAAATGCTGGGAAACATTGATCAATGTTACTATCTATTTATGAAAAAATGAAAAACAAGCGATTAACCTATAATAATTTTAAACTCTCTATATAGGTTTTTTCATTCTTTCTCATTTTCTATGGATTCTTACCATTGTCATCATCATCGTCATTCATTTCAACCTTTTACTTCTTTTTTTTTCAATCTTGTTTGAACAACAGCAGTCTTGCGATCACTCTCTCCTTTTAGCTGTCAACCACTCAGAAAAGTATGAAGTGTGAACAAAATGAAAAAAGCACCCACATAGTATAGTTAAAAAAACGGCCGACAAAGACAGAAGAGGGACAAAACTGTGCCTTTTTTAGTCATTCATTCAATCATTTTTTATGCGTCATGGACAGAATCAAATCAACAGTCCAACCAATAACAGGTAGAACTGTAGTATACTACCTCGAAATGTTCGTAGGGTCATACAAAATTTTATTCTGGTCTGACTCGATACCAATACTGACGAGTCGAGCAAAGATTTTCAAAATTAATTGGCACAATTACGCCATGTTGTGGCATGAATCAATACATATAAGGATGCTGGAGAATGCATTCAATTCATGAGTGACCACAGTTAGATTCAATTTTTGTCTTCTGTAGCAATAAATCACTTCATGAACAATGGGCCAATAAAATTCTGAAGGTAAAAGGTATTCATATCAGTATCTATTAGATTTGTACAGCATTGCAAATCGATCGTGAACGATATGATTACGCCATGATTTCGATTAGGCTCCATGGCATTGATGCATTACTCATGTATACAGAATTGATCAAGGAAGCATTATCAGAAATCGAAGATGGCGATGCAAAATCTATCAGAGAGCTTTCAGAATATTGTCGTAGTCAAGATGATATTTCTGAAGATGAAATTCGATTGATCGAAAAAAAAAATTTCATCGTCATATACTCATATGGTGGTATACAGCGCCACTTTTTATTTATTCTATGCTCAATCAAGGTCGACATTTACTCAACGTTGATATTATTCTTAAAATGGGATTCTTCATTCGACAATTACATCGAAATAAGACTTATTCGCAAATCCTATTACCCACTATCATATACAAACGAAATATATTTTTTGTTTTAGTTTTTTGTTATTTGCAAGATTTTGTTTTTTTCAAAATTATTAATTCTTACTTCGTCATCGTAAGCTCGAAATCAAAATGAAAATATTATAGAAATTTCTTTTTCGTAAGTGACTTACCTAGGTCGATCAAACCAACAGTAGGGTCCGATCGGAGCCGATAAGATCCCATTGGATTCCGATCGAATCCCATCGGATTTCGTCAGTGTACTATAGAAATTCGTCGGATCCTACAATTGGAATCCAATCGAATCTTACAGTTGGAAACCCACTGGAAACCAAGTATAGGATCCCACACTCGGAATCCCTTCAATATCCGATCGTTTCCTACAGACGGATTCGCTCGGAGTCCCCGGGGTGGGATTCCTACAAGATTTTTGGGTGGGTGTGGGTGTAGGCGTGGCTGTAGAGAAAAAGAAGATCCACACCCACACCCCACCCACCACTCACGATATATCATTGTTTTTCTAGGGGAAAGAAGTCACCGAGAATGGTGGTGGAATTGCAATATCATAAAAATAAGGCTCTTCTAAGTGATGCAAAACAATATTTGTATTTTTCGTCTTTCTTTATTGGAAAATAAGTTGCTTGTATAACTCTTTTGTAACTTTCTGTAGTGTTATGCATGATCAGAGCATTCAATTTCCTTCAGATTTCCAAGAAACACAAAGGGTTTCAACAATTAATTTTCATAAACTTTTAAGTTAAGTGTCGATATGTCTTGAATAAGACGTAATAGAAGAGGATGAGTTATGCATATCATATCTATAGTTGCTCGTCAAATCCTCTTGGAAAAGGATCGAAATTAGATCGTTAGGAAGATTGTTGGTTCCGACATCCGGATATTGTCGGATATTCAGAGGAATCCGACATTAGAATTCGTTACGGATTCCTCATCCCGGTAATCCGATGAAATCCTATCGGATGCTAGGATCCGATAATATCCCATAGGATTCGGTATCGGATTTGATGACCTGGGTTTAGAGAGTTGCCTGGTGTGGATGTGTGAAATCGAAAAATATTTAATCTAAAACTTAGATTTACATCATTTTCTTTGAAAATATACATATGAGTTCCATCCATCCATCCATATATATATATTCACGCTCAAAACGCAAGATTTTATTCCTTCATTATAGATATAGTTCAAAAACAAACATAACCATTCGTAGTTTTTTTGTTGCGAAAATTAGTTGTTAGGTTTTATATAGTAGAACATAAATAAAGATATATAGCGTTATACAATATGTCACGTAGCGTTTGCCTCCCCCTCTCCATCTTAAAGTATCAATGATATAACATATGTATTTTATACCAAGTTAAAGCGCGTCGACAACTGGATTAACTGGTACTAGATGATAAAGGTTATGAACTACTTTTAATGCCAAATCTAAGAGACTTTCAGAAATTCGATACTTTTTTGACGTGGAAAGGAAAGGTGACAGTAATTCAAAAATGGAATAAAACATTTTTCTTAGATATTTTAACATTGTTTGGTCGAGCTCATCGAACTGTGCAAAAATGTTCATTTCAAAAATATTGTGAGTCATCGTTTTAAAATGAAAGAGTCAAAAAAAAACTACTGAGGAAATCTCAAAAGATGTTCAGAAACTTTACTTTTTTCATATGGAAGAGAAAAACTCGATTTTCCAATCAAATTAGTTTTCGTTCATTATTTTTTGCTGTCTCACAAGTTTTGAAATTGCTCATTGGATTCAGTTTTCCACGCTACATCGAATGAGTATAGTTCGAAACGCTTGACGGATTAAAACTAATCAGAAAAAGCTAATTTTATTGAAAAATCAAGTGTTTTTCTTACATATAAAAAATATGCATCTTTATATCCTGCTTAAGATTTTCCAATTAGGTTTTTGAAGTATTTATCACAAAAAATGACTTAGAATAGTTTTAATAGATACAGTTTTGTAAAGATGGAAGAGCTCTATCGAACCATTGAAAATATCCAAGAAAAACATTTTATTTCATTTTTGAATTACTAGCACTTTGCTTTTCGATCACAAAAAGTATAAAATTTCTCAAAGTTTCAATAACCCTCACTATTTAGTATTAATGAACCCCGTTTTGGACGAGTTTGTTTCTTATATCAAAATTCATTACGTCTTCTATTTGAAATTACAGTGGTACCCTCCTTGAATAATATTATATCCAACCCTGCAAATCTGTGAATGCTGTAATATGGATCTTTATGTTCACAGCTTTTGTCTGCATTAGATTCTGTGAGTAAAAATCTTGAGGGTGAGAACCAAGAAAGAGCTGCCACTATCCGGATTTCGTTCTAATTTCAAAGACTCGTCAGGTGGTTTCTTTTTTAAAATGAATAAATCTCCATTTAAAATTCAATGATTCAAAACAAAATGGTCGAACCGGTACCTACCCCTTGATCAGTTCTTTTTCGATGAGCTAGTCGACCAGTTCAGTTCATATGGATCATAAAAATTAAGCTGGAAAGAGTGAAAAATTCGAAACTGATATACATCACGTTCCCAAACCTAGGTAGCCCAAGTTTTATCAACTACATTCTATTCATTAGTTCATTACTAATAAGTAATCATCAATTAAAAATTACACACAAGTACTCATTGATGATCGATTAGTAATTGAGCATTTATGAATATCTAAAAATAGCTATGAGTATTTGAGATGAGAGGGGGGTGATCGAAATCTT